CGTAGGGGGGGGGGGGGACGAAACGCCCCCCCCCGTCCTTTTCCGTCGATATCTCCTAAACGGCTGGAGATATCGCCACCAAACGTTCAGGACCCCTCCGGGCATCAATTTTACACATTGTGACCAAAATTTTCCAAAGGCCAAGATAGGTTGGCCACAAATGACGTCAGAATGACGTCATGTTCTGCCATTCTCGACCAAAAAAAGACCTTCGCGAGAAGAGCTATCAGGCCTACAGCTTTAAAGATACAGAAAAATGATCAAGACATAAAAGGTGTCGAATTAACAGGGCTACAAAACTGCTATCTCGGATTTTTGAACTTTTTGAGTTTTGGCCCCCAAAAATCAAAAATACAATTTTTTGGATATATTAGCCAAAAAATCCAAAAAGTTTTTTGAGTTTCGAAAAACCGGAATATATGTGATAGTACCTACCGTCTTCTCTCTACATACCAAATTTCAGATCGATATCTCGTTTTTTTTGGGCAAGTTATAGCGAAAAAACTGTTCAAAAATAATGACGTTAAATTTTCAAACTCAATTTTTGGCAATTCTAGACCACGTAGGGCAAAACAAAGACCACCATTGGACTCCCCGTGACGAGCTACATCGAATGGATAGTGGATACCCATTTTATGCAAAAATATCATCTTTGAAATTTGACCTAATTTGACCTGACCTTGACCCGACCTTGACCTGACCTTCACGGGAATATAATCTAAACTGACCCCAAAGGCTGCTTGACCCACATAATCGCATTTGTCATGTAAAATGGACCATAAAACATGTATCACACGACACTTTCATATCATATTGTGACCCCCAGTGACCTGACCTCTGTGACCTGACCTGGTATCAGTGACCTCAGATAGCGAAGTATGTGTTTGACGAACAATGTACCATCGATGGTCTTCAATAACTTACCAATTTACTCGATTTCACAACACATTTCTTGAAATGTCTGTGAACGGTGAAAATCTGACCTTTGACCTGACCTGTGACGTCATCGGTTTGACTTGGGTCAATGAAATTTGGTCACAAGGTAGTTCCCCGGTGGGACTATCAACGTCGTTTGAATTTTGAAAATCAGCCGGTAAATTTCCGAGATCTTAGGGGGGGGGGGACCGAAACGCCCCCTCCCCCCTCCCCCCCTACGGGTGGTAGGGTCCGCCGGTAGCCCTACGGGGCGCGGGTTAACGGTATGTATACTTATTTCTGCATCCCACAATATGTCGAGCTTTAGGTACTACTTTTTCCAACTTGACGGTACCATTCATTGGGAGTGGCGACGCGATCCGGTAATTTCGCGATCCGGAGGCGTGGATGTGTGGATCTATAAAGGACGGGAGTCCTCCCCAGCGACGATCTGTGTCGGGCCCACAGAATGATGCAAGGTACAGCCTGACCTGGTTATTAAATTTGATAATGCATCTACATAGGTACCTACCGAAACAAAAATATATGCCTAATACCAAGTTTAGGCATTTCATCACCAACGTGATAAGCTTTTAACTTTTATTTGCTACAGCCTCGGAATATAAACTTATTTATTTATTTATCCCTCGCTGGACCAATCAGTTTCCTACGTCTCGGCCAAGAGCCGGACGCCTCGCCGGTAATAGAGCTAGAATTTCGCGAGAAAGGGCATAAATGCTGTTTGACGAAACCCGGTGCACGGGTACCCGATTTTAACCCACGCCCTGATGGGGGGGATTTTGCCCCCCTGTGGTTTTTCTTGAACAGCGAGAAAAAATTTTCAGTACCTTCCCGGACATCAATTTGACACCTTCACACAAAATTTTAAGCCACAGGTTACCTTAGCTTAGGAGTTATTGAGGTCAAATTGAGGTCATGTTCGGGCTAAATTGAGCAAAATGTATGACATCTTGAAACGCTCACAAAATCTACAGTTAACAAGCAATTCTTTTGGTCATGAAGAAAAAAGATGGCGCTACAAAACTGCTATCCCGGATTTTCAAAATTTTGGGATTTTAACCCCCAAAAATAAAAAAAAAATGTTTTTTTAGAAAAACTCAAAAAATTCCCAAACTTTTTTCGAATTTCGATAAAAACCGGAATACATATGATAGTCCCTGCGCTCTTCTATCTACATTCCAAATTTCAGATCGATACCTCCTTTTTTGGCCAAGTTATAGCGATAAAACTGTTCAAAATTGATGACGTCTAACTTCTGAACTCAATTTTTAGCAATTCTAGAACCAGGCGCGGATACAAGGGGGGGCCATGGGGGCCATGGCCCCCCCCCTTGGCCGATTTTTTTTCAAAAATAAAATAAAAAGTTAAAAAGTTAAAAAGCTGAAAAGGGGGCCTCCTGAAAATAAAGTGGCCGAAATCCGATGAGTTTTTTTTTTTTAACCTACCCACTTAGTTATTTCTTAGAAGACTAGCTGAGAAGACTTCTTTGTTAGAAGATTGGTAAAGCTTTCCATAACTTGGAGGTCTCTTATACTCACAGAGATGACCACTTTTACAGGGCCTCCTAACCTGCACAGAGGGCCTCCAAGCCTGCACAGATGTTGAGATGTTGCCTGAACAGCTAGATAAGCTCAATAGACGCAGTTTTTTTTGGGGGGGCCCAACAAGTGGGAAGATGGGGCCTCCAACAGGTGGGATTATGGGGGGGGGCCTCCTGGTTTCTAATGGCCCCTCCCTTGGAGATTTTCTGGATCCGCCCCTGTCTAGAACACGTAGCGCAAAACAAAGACCTCCATTAGACTCCACGTGACGAGCTGCATTGAATTGATAATGCAAAATATTAAGTTTGAAATTTGACCTTTTTTGACTTGACCTTGACCTGACCTTCACCAGAACATAACCTAAACTGGCCCCAAAGGATGCCTGACCCACATACTCGCGTTTGCCATGTAAAATGGACCATAAAACATGCATCACAAAATATTTTCATATTCTGACCCTCAGTGACCTGACCTGGTATCAGTGACCTCAAATAGCAGAGTATGTGTTTTATGGACCATTCCCCATCGCCGATTTTCAATGACATGCATTTTGCTCGATTTTCGTATTTCTTGAAATGCCTGTAAACGGTGAAAATTTCGACATTTGACCTGGCCTGTGACGTCATCGGTTAGACCGAGGTCAATGAAATTGGGTCACAAGGTAGTTCCCCGTTGGAGCTATCCAACGCCGTTTGTCGCTTGTCGCTATGTTGCGTGGTTCTCGAGATCGACCGCGTTGCTCGGCAGGCCCCATCAGGGCGCGGGTTAAGCTCCATACATACAGGGTGGGGCAGCATAATCGGGAATGCTTTTTGGGCTCTGATCATGAGTAGGCATGGCATTATTTTTATAAATTATATTATGGCAATGAAACGCCCAAAAGTTGTGCATCATCTGACATGACTACATCCATGAGCATGCAACTTCCTGGAAAAGAGCAGCAAAATAGTTCGACGGTGCTCCAAGTGCTTTGCGCGCGCCCATAGACACTAATGTTAAACAAGTAAAACAAGAACATTTTGTTTAAAACCCTGCAATTCCACGTAAAGGTTGCTGGGCAGGTCAACGTGTTATCACGGACGATAAGGATTGTGTGGGGATACTTAGGACAACAGGTTAACGTAATCGTCGTAAAATAACTCTTAGCAGAGGACATACAAGATGACTCACTTGAATATAAGGAAGAAGCACTTGAGCATATTAAAAAGAAACAATGTTCAAAACTTCAGCGACAAAAAATCTTATCACCGACTGGAATACGATAAAAAAGAATGGCATGCCATATAGGGGATTGTATCGAGAATATTCCAGCGGTCATGCAAAGTAAACATCCTGTTGGGGTGATGGACCTATGGGTGGTCTTCAAGGGAGGTGCACGTGGTGCACCCTACTTCATCGAGCCCGGATAAAATGAGCACCTCTGGTAAATACAACCGCACTCTGGCAGACTCACGTGGAGCCGTCGGAAGAGAGGATCACTGACGGTCCAAATCACGTCTTACGAGGACTCTGTACGTGCTGGTACTGCAGTGAGGACGACATGTTATTGTGTAGGGCACCTCCACCTGAGATGAACCAAAAACTTCTGGTCCTTCAACTCCGCCGATTTAAATCCGACCAAATTCTTTACATGGAGCGTTTTTTGGTAGAAGTTTAATGAACAACTTATCATCAGTAAAAACAGTCTTCAGTGCAAGGTACGAAGCTGATGGGCGATCATGGACAAGCAGGAGGTTGCACGTGCATGCGCGTGCTTTTGGACCCGCCTTGAGAAGGTCATCGACGCCGAGGGCGGTCAAATAGGATGAGGGATAGGTAAAAGGTGACCGATTGATAGGATGTTGCTAAAATAGTGCTTGGAGCTATATTTTTAGATTCATGACCAAATAATCCCGTTTGATATTTATTCCCGATTATGCTGCCCCACCCTGTACGCATGTCAGCCGTGAGCCGGGGACGTTAAGACGACGTCAAGGACTAAAGGTTAAAGGTAGGACAGTGTGGACACTAGTTTCCACTTTTTACAGCTTTCGTGTTTTTTTGACTATAAGATAAAAAAAAAAAACAAGTGAAATACAGATTGCGCGCATGGGACGAATCTCCACGATATCGTCGGCGCCATGGCTTAGTTGGTTAAAGCGCCTGTCTAGTAAACAGGAGATCCCGAGTTCGAATCTCGTTGGTGCCTCTTTGTACCACAATTTTCGTGATGTGTTGTTTTCCGTGATTTTCGTGATGCACTGGCCACTGGCAATACATCGCCTTCGTGACAGTCAACGCTAATTCTGGGAAATCCCATGTCACGAAGGATTGATTCGGTCTGTGCCCGGCAGCTCTTTATTATTTTTTGCTTATATTATTGTAAAACATTTATCATTTTACTTCAGACGTCCACTATCAGGTATATGTTCAATGAAATGGATATAGCCGACCAGCGAATAGCGTACTCCTTCTTACCTATACCTATTCCTACTCATTTGGTATTACATACATGCAGCATGATTTCCAAAAACGACAAGGATATTGCTATATACGTCTTGTATTTATCACTCGTACAGCAAGCACATCTGAGGAAATCACTTTCACGTGTGTGAGCAAGGCAGAGGTCCTTGCGTGCGTCTATTTCCAAATGATTGACAACTCCTTGTAGCTAACTACAACTTCGACAGATCTAATTTAACGAGAAAGGCCACCTCAAGGTAAATAATGCATTCTAGTTACTTGGTAAAAACATTTTCTAAGAGCAAGATTATGCTTGCATCGTCAACACCAGAACGGTTATCAAAGGCCAAAACGTCCCACATGCATACACGAAACTATGTCGATACTCCACACCGAACAGGAATGGCGCAGGAACACACTCTTGTAGGTACTTCATTACGTACGTCGTACATGACAGCCCGAATTAGGTACAATAACAGCACAAATACATGCAATACAGAAGGCACAGCAGGGTTGTGCTCGACTCAAAAAAAATTTGCCGACTCGACTCATTATTCAACTTCAGAATGCCCTGACTCAACTCTGACTCAAACAAGGAGCTGATTTTTTCCCTTGACTCGACTCTCATGACTCAAGCGGCTCAATGAAAATATGAGTTGACTCAAACTTGACTCAAAATTTTTTGTTGAGTCAAGTGTGTTGACTCAAAATTGACTCAGATAAAAAAGTTGTTAAGCGGGGGGAGGGGTGAAAACATCCGGCAGCAGGGCCAGGCCTAAGTTGCTAAGCGGGGGGAGAATGAAAAACTTATACTATATATTGTTTCTAAAAAGTTGAGTCAGCTGACTCATGTCCTAAATGTTCTTGACTCAACTCAATGTCAAAAGTTATTTTAATGACTCAACTCTGACTCAACTCAACAGCTCAACATTTTATCCGACTCGACTCAAATCTGACTCATTTGAGTCAGAGTTGAGTCAAATTTCTGACTCGACTCATAAGTCAAGCACAACCCTGAGGCACAGTGATACAGCTTTAAGTGTTTAAATATTATGCTCACGTCATGTGTGCAATTTCCTCGTGCATAAACAAGTGCATTATCCCGAACTTGCGTATGCCGTACAACCCACCAAACCATAAACATCTAATGATCGATGAAGCAGCGTGCTCTTCAGACGGTGGGACTGGATTGACCCTTCACGAATCGTGCAAATCATTGTGACGAGGAGCCTCCCGCAGTTTTCCTGCCAGACGTGGTGTAAGCTGAGGAATGTCTGCTCAATCAGCGACTTCATCGAGAGGCACTGGTGACTGTGACAGAGGTGCCGGCCTCCTGCAGCTGCCTCGTCAGGCTGTGGATGTCCCTGATGGTGGGCGGAGACATGGCCGGGGCCGTGCTTCCCGCCGTCGGCGAGCCCTTGCCAGAGTCCCGCGCACGCTCCTCAGCAGACCTCTGACGAAGGAGAGAGGGGTTTGGGATGGCGCGCACGTTCTGGCTCTTGGGTCTCTGTGGCAGCGGAGGAACGGGGAACACCGGTCTGGAGGAGGTCGAGGAGGTGGTGGTGGTAGACGATGACGGCCGGGACAGGCTGGACAGGGGCGGCACGGCACTGCCGTAGCGCAGACTCAGAGAGGCCGTCTCAATGTGGAGCGGCGAGGATACCGGGCGGACGGGCGTCATGGCCGCTGACCTCACCGGTACGGAGCCGGGGGCGACAAACGTGACACTACTGGTCACTGCTTGCGCCTTCGACGCCGCAGTCGAAGTGGAACAAGCAGTGCTGTTGGCAGCATCAGTTTGCTTTCCCGGTCGGTTAGAATCAGTCGAGAAAGATTCATTTATAGTCCTTGACGACAGCAAACTTTTCTGTGCTAATGACTCAACAATCGACATGATTCTGTTATTGCTCTGTGACTTTTTCATGCCAGAGAAAAGAAATATAGTTTTCGATGCAGGCTTTTGCTCACCCGCGACACTAGTCTCTTTCGCAGGCTTCTGAGAGGTCGGCTTGGATGACTTGACCTCGGTAGAGCCATCGGTCCTGTTCTCCGTTGGCGCTATCGGTCTAGTGTCTTTTCTAGCCTGATGGCTTGAAACTGATGTTTGAGCCTTTTTCATCTGAGGCGATGAGGACAGAAATGTATTGGTCCCGTGAGAAGTGGTCTTGTGAGAATTCCCTTCGTCTCGCTTCGTTTTGACTGTAGCTGATGACGTGGCTCCATATCTCGCACATTTACTCAGAGCCAGTTCTGCAGATGCTTGCTTGCAAGTGGCATCTTTGATCTTCTGCTGATGGGGCTGATGCTTGTGGATGGCAACAAAAGCTTCTGGCAACTTGATCTGCTCTTTCTTGTACGAGATGTTTTGTCGGGGACCTTCTTTTCCCACGCTGCTCTGTTGTCGATGCTCCTCTTTTGACTTCAGTGTGTTCCCATTGCTGTCTTGGACGGTTGTGCCCGATGTCTTTTCTGACACAGTGTGTTCTTTAGTTACCCTCTCATTGCCAGGAGTACGAGATTCCTTTTTGTGAGGCTCACCTGTCTTACTCGCTGATGTACTCTGTGGCATTGCATCCTTCTTAGGCGAAGCAGGTTCAGTTGCTACACGCTTCAGAGGGGACGCAGCAGCGCTGTCGCGCTTCTGTGTCTGACTTAAGGACTTTGCTTGAGGTTTGCCGGCAGACGTTTGCTTTTGGTCATCAGCAGATAGCTTTGCACGCTTGTTTGGTTTTGCTGTGGAATCACCGGCACCATCTTTGCCTGCTTCGGTAAGGCTTGCGCTTTTTCTTTTCAGACTTTTATCGATGTTTTCGTCCCTGGCTGTTGAAGGTGGTTCCACTTCAGACCTACCGCATGACACTGGCCTTACAGTTGCCGGCGAATTGGTGTTCCTGTGGTTTGTCTTTTCTTTGGCACAGCCTAAGCTACCCAGCGAACATGCGCCTGCAGGCCTGCTGCTTTTCTCAACATCACATGGACCGCCTGGAATAATTTGGCTCTCATGCGCACTTTCAGCTTTCTTATCGTTGGATATGGGAACGTCCTTTTTAGCCACTAGCTTTGTCTGCACTTTTTGACCTGCACCTGTACCGTTTGCTTCAGGATCACATGAGGCCGATGCGCTCTTTATGTTCGTTTTGCGAACTTTTGAAGAAGACTGTTCAGAAAGTACGTCTACCGAACTTTTGAAGACAGGCCCTGATCTGTGCAGCCTGAAGACCAGTTTCACGGGTGATTCCTGGAAAAAAGGAGATATTAAATCACCAAGAAATCGATAGAGTATAAACACGAAAAAAAAAAACTTTAGGGAATTATCTGCGGTACAGTAATGATGACAAAATGCGATGAAATACATAATCGCTCACAACGCACGTATTCAGTATCTCACCCGGTCCCAGTTGACCATGTAAAGGACGTCCAACAGTTTTATATCGCCTGGTAATCTTCTGGAATCGCATAGCAGCTCCACCTGTGAGAAATAGACCGGTACCTCGATCAGTCGACAGAGAGATCGTCGCCGCAGATCACCCATGTCGACATCACAGCTGGCTTACAGTCGCGCCTTCGTCCGTTCAGCGGCCACCGCCTGGTCGGTAATCCTGAGTTAGAGCTTACGGCTGCAACCCCGCACAGCCAGCCAGATAGGCATCTGCGGCCGCCCGACAGGCCACGGACACTGACTGTGCACGCCGCTTTCGTAAACGCCTCTTGTCATTTAGTGAATCCCTTCTCAGTAATACTCTGCAAATACTTTTATGACTTAGCCCGAAAGTCAATCTGAGCCATTGTAACAAGGAGGTATTTCGTGATGAGGTGAGTTTTTCACTTACTCGAAGATCTTCGGAGAGCTGGTATTTTCTGCGGAGGAATTTGCTGAGCACTGATAACGGCGTCCCGGCCGGACATCGTAGATACCGCACGGGCACGACGTCTCCCGGCCTGGAAGATAGCGCCTTGGTAACTAGTTGTTTAGCAATGCAAACATAATTTAAATAAGAAAGTTGGCAAATGCATCAACTTAACGCTCCTCACAACATATGCAATTCATTATTATTGACCATCATGCACCAATGCAGCAAAGGTGGGAAATGGGCATTAATAAAGTCAGCTAAAATGACAGTTAAAACTAAATTTCCTCTACAGTAGCGGTATCACCACGCCAATCTGTGCCAAGGTTTCGATTTCTTACCTTTGCGGTGCGTACTGAATTTGTAGGTCGATGATATCACTCGCGTCGTAGAAAGCCGAGCCTTGGTCTTCCTCAGTCGCTTTAGGGCCTGACGGTGTGCCGGCAGCTGCACGTAGGGCAAAAACGTGTCACAAGTCACTAAAAGCCTCTGTCCACGGCCACTGTTACTTTTGACAAAACTTAACAGGCGTATTAACCACGAAAAGAATGTGCTCCGAGTACTGAGGACAGGACTGTCCGCTTTGTAGACCCGTACAACCAGACAGGTATGCCGTTGCCCAGCGTGGGTTGTTTGACGATTCAATGACACCTACCATTATCCTGGTTGTCGGCGTAGAAGAGCCGACGCCGCTGCATCTCATCCCGGTGCAGGCCTGGTACCGTTTTGTACACGATGCTCTGCAGAGTGGCGTCGGGCCTGAAACGGAAGCGGCGGCTTAGCCGAGCTGACTGAATTCGGCACTCCATAATACCAGTGAAAGGAGGACAGAGCTGTGGAACAATGCCGGGCGCCCGCATGAGCCCAGCAGCTTCATACCGGTAAACCTCAAGGCCGTACTATCATCGCGAGCACCGTCTCACTACTCATGGACAGCAGCAGATTAAGGTTCGCGGCAACTATCCATTGTCTTCACAACACAGCGTCACGACCACAGGCGCTGCGAAGAATACAGCTCCATAACCTGTCGTAAACCCGACAGGAACCAGCGGCGCGACAAGCACACTGATCTTAACGATAGGACGCGCCGGACACACAAAAAGGCCACAGCAAAATGCGCCACCTATCATTGTTCAAATGGGAAAGACCGCCAAGGCGCAGCTCATCGGGAATTCCTGTGAAGCAGATATTGAGTCAGGAACATTCAAACCACCGAGCTTAGAGCAGCCATATGATAAAAGCATAGCCCACTTCGTCTGAGCGCCAAGCGAGTAGGCATTACCTCAGATTAGCTGCGCTGGCGCCTTGTGCCTTCTGGACCAGGACGTCGCAGCCTTCGACTGGACAACGTCTGGTGGTGTGCAGGTGCAGCAGGATGCACGACCGACAGACTAAAACAAACCGGATGTCCACCGCGGTCACTCGGGGAATTGTTAGTTCATAACCATATCCTGCATAACACCCACCCGGATTAATCACCTCTTGCTTACGTAGATACGAACGATAATGTTTACCATACGTGTGAGTCACAGAAGCGTCAAAGTCACTAAGCGCAGGTCAAATTAATTTAGATCTTTGACACCTTTACATCAATTTAGAATTCAAACACGTAAAACGATAAACGCGGGAAGTTATCAAATATATCATACACCAACGGCCTGAGCCGGGCTAAAAGGGAAGCAACCGCCAAATAGGCTGGTCGGGTGTTGAGCTTTTCTCAAGCACTGTCAAACGGTAACATTAGGAAGAAGACATGACCCCCATGCCCACTTGCCCACACTGCCGGCAATGATCGCATATTATCCTCCTGGGTAAGTCCTGGGTAATCTCCACCACCTGCCATCATACTTACACGTGTGGAGACACTCAACGATGGCGGTGGCGTCCACGTAGTATCCACCACACAGAGGGCACACCAGATGGGGCGTCAGCTCCGACAGAGTCACGGCCCGCTGAGGGGCCACGCCAGCCTGGTCGGCACAGGCAGGCATCTGGCAAACAGAGGTCCTGCTCTTTAGCACAGCTGGTGACGACGGGGACCACGCTGTGTCTGCCGGCTTGGAATGTGTATGTGGACATGCTCGTAATTCATATTAGGGGAGGGTGGGGTAGGACGGACCAGATAAGGCTAATGTGGAGAGTGGCTTAATGTCGGCTGCTGTGGGCCCTATAACGAGGCCCTCACGTAGCCTTTAGCGAATCACATCCCTGATGGTTCAACGCCAACTTCGAACTATTCATGCTGGTGGGGACGAATAGGGGAGAGCGGGGCCAGTTGAACCACTTTTTATATATTGACATGCACAGCGAGATCTAGTTGTCATATCGAAAAAGGCACAATACCATGAAAAAATATGTTCTTTTGGCTTTGTTTTAAGATATGTAAAATTATGTTTCAAACATATTTTGCTGCCAAACGCATGCTTATAAAACAGCTCTACGCCCGTTTCAAATGACCCCGATGCGAGGGTCAATTGAACCAGCCCATGGGGTCAATTGCACCTATCCTTAACAATGGGATGTTTTCCTCTTTAAGGCCACTTTCTTACGGATATATTTTGTCCGGTTTACTTTTCCAAATGCTACATTCAATAGGTCGTTGGGAAGCTAAAAGTGCAAAGTTCCTCATAATAGGTGACATAAAGTACATAGACTATGGTAAAATGGGTGGATGAGGAAAATGAGAAATATCTCAGGCTATAGTGTGCTTTCAAGCAAAAGGCTGGAGAAAAGGAGTTAAAAATTGAGCCCTATTAAACTACTATTTCAGTTTAAAAGCTCATTTCAAAGGTGGACTATTTCCTTTAATGTTTACAGCCTCTGAACAATAACCATTGCAAAGGTCACCGGGGTCCATTGAAACGGCCTGTGGCCCTGTTTCAACTGACCCTCAGAGAAGCGTTTCAATTGACCCCATCCGCTCCCGCCATCTCGCACGCGCCGTAAAGCACATGTCAAACGAGCTGGAGGGACGGCATCATGCTGAATGAAGGGCCAAATAACGTGTTATTCCGGAGCCAGGAGTTCTTCTTTCAGCAAACAAAGGTATATGAGATATCACAAAATATTCATAAAAACGATTTCTCCCAAACGCCCCTCAAAAACACAAAAACAAGTGTCAAATCAAAATTACCGTCCGTTTGCCGCCCAAACGCCGTTGACAAAGGAAGTGGTCGAGCGCGGATGCGCAGTGGTGTCGGCAACGCCATATGTTGCATACCGTTGAAAATAAAGCCATGTTTCATCTGACCCCGTGTTTCAACTGGCCCCGCTCTCCCCTACGGAAAAAAACGGGATTCTGACGACCCTAGGCCTTTTTTGACGGCCTGAAACAGGCGTTTGCAACACCTTAGATGGGGCGACGCTAGCATCAGAGGTTTACAAGGACCCATATCGCTTGTGTGAGCGCACTGGCTCATGCGGGGCCCCATACCAAGGGCAAGGGCCTCAAATACCTACTCATTAGTTGAACCATGTCGGCCCATGTGAGGTCTACATCGGCCTCTGATGGCCCAACGGCAGAAAATGGTTGCTCAAACCAGCGTCTAACGAGACCACGCAGGCCTCTATTAGAACGCACCGGCTCTTGATGACCTATATCAGCCCATGCGGCTCTTATTCAAGTTGAGAATTGAGTGGAGAGTGGAGACATTTTCTGTCGTGGGGTCCTCTCAGATCAGCATAAGGGCTGTGAGGCAACTTTGGGGGTGGGTGAGTGAGGCACTCTCAGTAGTGTTCTTTCGAGTTACCGTGGAATATCAGCCACCATGTAGAGCTAACAGAGGCCGAGGCGAGACATGCAACACTGAAAACAATTTCACCCAAAACCGGCGAGTAAACCGGTGCCTCGCGGGTACCCCTATCCGCAACCATTTTTAACCACCCTCCCAGGAGTCAAGTTAGGGCATTACACTTTGCAATTCACTCTGGAAAGTCGTAACCCTCCACGGCTACTCGCGCACCAGTGGCTCGCGACCCCTCCATCGAAAGGTAACCATTGACGCCTACCTGGTAGACGCGCCCCACAAACCCCAAGAGAGGAACTACCCTCCACGCCTACCATTCGCCGACCGAGTCACGAGGGCCCAAAAACTCCCACGCTTGTCCATATTTGCGGGAAGATATCTATAAGATAGCAATATCACACCCAGTAAACATCGGTGAGAAAGTTTCACATCGGTGGGAAAGGTCAAATCGAACTCAGTCCCATAGAAGATTCGACATGACCTTATCACCAGCAGTCATGCAGACCGCCCGAAAGCATGAAGATGTGTTGCCACTACTTTCGTGAGCAATATAAGAATCAAAGTGGTTTCACTTGTTAGTTTCGGAAGAAAAAGCGTTGCCAATCGTCCCGTAATGAATAAAGCAGAGGTTTTAAAGATGCACCCTAACAATATTACTTTCGCCCCACTTGAAAACTACCAATGTGCCAATATATATTGGTGCAAAAAAGTTACAAAACTGCTGTAATTCAAAACTGTATGAGACAGCGACATCTAGGTGTGGTGGTTGAGCCTTCACAATATACCTGTAGATGTAACTTATGGATGGCGAACCTTTATAAAGGTTCGCTATCCACGGATCCACGGACGCCACTTTGCTGTTTAGGACACTCTTTTCGGAACGAGAAATGGAATATCTTTGCATATAGGCAGTAGCGGCGGAACACCTTCAATTAAGGGGGGGGGGGGCACTGCCGACTTTTGGTTCCATTCTTTCCATGCAGCGCCCATAGGGCTAATGTTAAAATGCCGAAATCAAAGGGGGGCACGGTGCCCCGGTGCCCTCCCCGTTCCGCCGCCTATGCATATAGGGTGATCGTTGGGCCGTAAAAGCTCCTGATTTGTGCTGGTCCCAGCTCAAGCTACAAAACTGCTATTCCAGTTCAAAACCCCATGTTAAAAGTAAGCTATTTCCTCAAACACATGGTATACCTACTGTTGTAAGCAGCCGTATTCATTCAATTGCAATAAAACAATAAACGGTTTAATTGTCTCCGCCATCACCGCCGACCAGTCAATATGTACATAAGCTCTTGGGATGGATAAGACGGGCGGGGGGGGGGGGTGGCAACGACAGCAACAACGGAGATCGGGATAACGATCTTGACAAAATGACAGAATTGAGACGGAAGACGCCCTTGCAATAGGTATAAGACTTTTAACATCTACACAAGTGACAGAGTTTAGTTTCACAACTTAAAGACTACAAAAGACCACAACTCATACACAATCGCATGCTCATACCCACACAGAAAAAGTCACGTAGCCTCCACCATTCTGCGCGGGAGAATTCAATTAGATCCTGTGAAAGAAGCTGTGAGGCTCTACAATCCAGGCTTCACGCGTTTGTTTCTGGAAATTCGTCACTCATTCACGATCGCCAGTCATCAATACTCAACATTGGCACAGCACCGCCAACCATCGTCATAGAAACATGCAATAAAAGAGTTGACGACACACAGGCTGGACGCACGTCTGCACCTGTCAGTTAACAGCCAGGGCCCAGGGGGTTTACATTTCTCTGGAAAATTCAGTACCACATGCTTATTTTGACTTTGTTTTCTTGGGTTAGGCTCTTCCGGTCTAACAAGACCGTTTCAGAGCCGGAAGGATGATAAGAATTAGGGGGAGACATGTGAGCGGGCACCATGGTGACTGTCGGAACTGAGCCCATCACGTGGACAGGCCACCCAGCCCGCCAACTGTCACCGCACCCGACTACGGGTCTGCTCCTGGGTGGAGCTCCCCGCATGGGATAAAGGTGAACGTTTAGCCCGGAACAGGGGGTTGAGGCATGTAAGAGAAGGATTTGATCATCATGAGGACGGGAAAGACGGAACGGAGGAGTGCCACATAATTCTGCGCGGGTCATTTAGGCTAAGTAAGTCGCCCAGGGCCCCAGGCTGTGGAACTGTGGAGGGGCAGTCTTGTAACTGAAAAAGGTTCGTTAGATAGTAGTAGTACTTGTGGGCACGCTGCATTCAAAGGCATGCAAGAAGTAAGGCAAGGACTCGTTACTTAGCTGCTGTAGATTTCGTAGGGCAAGGACTCGTTACCTTGCTGCTGTAGGTCTCATGCGGTTACGCTGGCCTCAAACACAACAACGAACACTTCAGTCGGCTTTGCCAGCGCTATGGTCTCCTCTCGTGAATTTCAGTTATCCTCAGGCACACGCAAGCAAAAGGTCACCGACATGCTGGTAGCGATACATGGGAACGCTGCACGAGACGCCACGCGCTCAGCGGCCCCGGCCGGCCCTCCCGCCGCCTAGCGGACGCTACCTCCGCTCTCCGCCATCTTGTTCACTCCAACGGCATAAAACTGACACCTAGAAAAAGCAGATTACAGCAATATAAAAGGCGATCAGGCACAGCAAATGCATTCAACACTTACCTTTGGTGATGCGCTAGGTGATGACACCCAGTTTTCGGTCCAACTCGCCGGTTTTGCGCCAAAATGTTGATTTTTCCGTGGAGCTAACGCGGCGTCCTCCGGCTGACGGTCGGGGCCTCACACTGCGCCAGCGACGCCACCGCGGCGGTCACGTGACCCGAGTTCCCGGATGTGGCTCCGGCTGGGGGCGGGCGTCCGCGCGCGACGGGCCACTGACGGGGTGCGGTCAAACGATCCCTACACCCCTGGAGCTGAGCAGAGGAAATAAAATGGTTGTGAACCTGCGTATGGGTAAATCAGCTGTGCTTTGGTTGAAATTGGGCAATACGTCAGCATCGAGTTTCGTCAAGGCGAACGGTTATTTCGAACGTTGTTTGCGATACAATGGCGGCAAGCCATCGCAGTTCCCATTCCGTTGAGAAGAATACAGGAAGAGCAGCACCCATAAACTTTCTTTTTGCAGTCCGCATCAGGTAGGTAGGTAGGTACCCTGCACAATAACGGCAAAATGATGGATGAAATTATGGAAGACTCTGAAGCCAAGAAATCTCAGGTATCGGCCTACATCAACACGGATTTCGTCCGGTCCCTTTAAGAACCCGATGAAGTTAGAGGAAAATGGAACCAAGCCATAAAAGACGGAGGAAGTATTTCACAGAAAAGTCCTTCCATGACCAGCTGTTGAACGCCAAAACTATGGAATGCGGATAATATTTGGATGGATATGACCTATTTGCGAGCAGACAGAGCCCCAAGGCCAAAAGTGCCCTTTTCGGGAAGCAAAACGATCATACTGATGCGAGGTCACATAGCCATGTGTCTCAAGGGTCTGTTTTGGGGCCATTCTTCTATTCTTATTCTACGGCCATAATATAGGTGTAGGAACGTTTTCGAAAGTGTGTGGGGGGGGGGGGGGCAGGCTCCCAGAGGCACAAAACCTCACCTACCCCCAAAATCCATTTTCTCCTCGGATTTCGGCCGCTGTATTTTCGCAAGCATGCTCAATTCGGTAAAAAAGTGACAAGAAAAAAAAAATCGAACAAAATCTCGTGGAGACTCCCGTCCAGATATTAAATCTCATGGACGCGTCCCCCTGGCCTCCGCAGCCGCGTTGGCACCATGGAGCGGATCCAGGAAAACTCCAAGGGGAGGGTCATGAATCGAAGTAGTGCCCCTACCTATACCCAAAATTAAAACCTCAACGGATTTCGGCCACTTAATTTTGATGGTGCCCTATTTTCATTTTTTGTTTTTGTTTTTGTGCCCTGGCAGGCCTGTAGTGCCCCTGGCGGGCCTGTGGTGCCCCTGCTAGGCCGCAGGTGCTCCTGGCAGGTTTGTGGTGCCCCTGGAAGGACTGTAGTGCTTCTTACGAGCCTGAAGTGCCAGCGACAGGCCCATGGTGCCTCTGCGAGGCCGATGGTGCCCCTGCGAGACCGTGGTGCCCCTGGAAGGCCTTTGGTGCCCCTGGAAGACCTGTGGGGCCCCTGACAGGTCTGTGGTGCCCCTGGCAGACCTGTGGTGTTCTTGCTAGGCCGATGGTGCTCCTGACAGGCCGGTGGTGCCCCTGTCAGGTCTATGGTGCCCCTGATAGGTCGGTGGTGCCCCTGGTAGGCCTGTGGTACCCCCGGGCCCCAAGGGGGCATGACCCATGTGACCCCACCTTGGATCCGCCACTGGTTGGCACCCATGCGAATTCCAGAAGAATCCAAAAACATTTTTTATTACGAGCGAGCGTGAAACGTGAGAAGTGAAAAGTCAGCAAGAGGTGTGCGTGGGGGGGGGGGGGCAGTTAACATTGCTGGCCCCCCATTCGAAAGTGGGGGACCATGGCCCCCTGCCCCCCTGTTCCTACGCCTATGCCAGTAACCTATCAACTAATGCAAGGCCGCCTAACATAAATTGTTAGTTTACGCCGTTTACGCATTCTGCTGCGCCAGTATTGTCTCTCTTTGCACCGCGCGCTGCCCCTAAGCTGCCACTTATTGCTTCTGACAAAATTTTCTTTCATTGGGTGGGGGAAAATTTGCACTCAATAACGATGAAGCACAAATGGAAATCGTCATGGAAGGGCAGGCCGGAGAACCGTCAAGGTTGTTCTTCGGGGTGGTACCTACAAATACATTAACACGCGCACTGCAGGGGGGGGTTGTTTTCAACCCCCCCCCCTGTGGTTTTTCGCAAATCGCGAGAAAACGGCAGCGCGTAGCGCCGCCAAATTTTGCATACCTGTTCTCCCAACTTTTGCACACCTTGAGTAAAAATTTTGACCCCAGGTGACCTATGGTCAGGTCACCAGGTCAGGTCAAGTGACCCTACCTCGAAACGTAAATTTCGAAGTTTGCAATCCCACCAAGCCCACAGTTGTTGAGATATGATCTTGAAACCCACAGGAAATAGTAAAGTCATCACGAGCTACAACTTGTATATCTCGGAATTTTTATATCGATGACCTAAGGTCAGGTCATTTTTGCGACCAGCCCATTATAAGTCAATGGGAGAAATTTCAACTTACTCTGAATGCCATCCTATGACTTCAATACGCTCAGGATCATAGTATTACAGGTCCCTGTTGGTGATTTCACCGAAACATATCACTTATGACCTTTGGAAGGTGATCTCCAGGTCATCTTAGGTCACCTGAGGTCACCAGCGGTTTTTCTTCAATAACTTGAGATTGAATAGAGATAGAGACTCCGTTCGACGTTTATCGTGTTTTTCTCGTCAATGCGGATCGAATGATATGCAACATGACCTATTTCGGTCAGGTCATGACCTTGACCTGAGGTCAATTTTTCAACTTGACCTTTCGAGGTCATATCATATATCATTCGATGCGCCTTGACGAGCTAAGAACGATGGCGTTCGAATCGATCCTCTGTCTTGTGTGCAAGACAAGTTATTCAAGAAAAACTACCGCGAAATTCCTGTTGTGAAAATCGTAACATTTTGTCTTCGGTGACCTCTGGTGACCTCGTTTTTGACCTGACCCAAAAATGATCTTAGTATTTCTTGTAGATCTCATCTCAACCTATCCAACGCCGTTTACCGCTTGTCGCTACGTTGCGCCGTTTTCGAGATCTCAGGGGGGGTTGTTTTCAACCCCCCCCCCCTGCAGTTCGTGTTCGGCTCAGACCCGCTGCAGTGCGCGTGTTAATATTCGGCAAAAAGTGGGGGGGGGGCAGTTAACATTTTTGGCCCCCCACTATGAAAAGTGGAGGGCCACCGCCCCCCCCCCCGTCCCCCATGTTCCTTCACCTATGTCTTCGACAATGCCCTCGTAACTCCTAGACTCGTCGGTGATCAGAATTACATAGGTATGTAACGATCCCTGCCCACGACTTTTAGGTGTACCTATCACAGTGCAGGGTAAATACAAGGGAACCTGACTTGCTGAAGAAGAACATGAACATTGAACACTATGGCACATGCTTCAAAGCTGAACGGCATGCAGATTTAGTAGGAAAATCAGATTGTGGGAGGCGTCAGGACCATAGGCGGCGGAACGGGGAGGGCACCGCGGCACCGTGCCCCCTTTTATTTTGGCATTTTAACATTAGCCCTATGGGCGTTGCATGGAAAGAATGGGACCAAAAGTCGGAAGTGCCCCCCCCCCCCCTTAATTGAAGGTGTTCCGCCGCTACTGGTCAGGACTAGGAGACCATACGCAAACTGGACAATTGAGACTCTCGCCGCACTAAGAAATCCCATGACGCGTCTCCACCAATGCCACTAACGAATCACCGACTGTTCAGGGGGTAGGTAAGTGATTACTCTTTAAAAGCTAGTGGTAGAGCCGAGGTCCAAACGAATATCATTCTCAGCGATTTCAAGAGCTAACGTTGAAAATGCTCTTTTGATGACTCAGTCTAGTCCTAATGCACCAAATACTAAAAAAAAAAAAAATAGTGGACCAAACCTACTTCCAGACCAGGGTTGTATACCAATCAAGTCGATTGAATTGATTGATTTGTTTCAACGCGCATTTTGAGTTGATTGGATTGAGTCGATTGACTTTTCGAGATGACTGGTTGACTGACTCGTTTGACTTTAGCGACTGGTTGACTGATTTGATTCCCGAAAATTAGAGTGACACGTATGATTGAGTCGATTGAATGGAAAGTTCAAATAAGTTTTAGTTGATGAAAAATAATGACACCAACTGATGACATCAATGATCACAAAACTACACTGAAAAGTGCTTGTCAATTGTCATCACAACTGCAATATGGGGTAGATGGCCAAATAAAGAACAGGGCCTAAACATGAACAGCCAACTTTGACTTTCAACTGCAATAACTCATAACTGCTCCAATCCTGGTGATAGAACCTGGCGATGCACCTACCTACCTTTCTGCACTCAGCAGGAAACGTTTTTTTTTTATCCAGATGATAAAGTGCAAGGCCCTGGCCTATATACTAATAAAGTGTGATTAATTAATAATTCACATCTCCACATCTCCTCAAAAAAAAACCCACTGAACTCTATAAATATCTGAAACCCCTACAAAAATAACTGAAACAAAAGCGCCGTTTTCGTCTCACTAATTACGTTTACGTATACCAATTAATAGCTAATTTGCTGCATTGTTTAAATTGCAGCAGAACGTTTGTTGATCCTTTTCCCCTGAGAGCCTAAGCATAACATATTTATTATATTTCATTTTCCTTAAAATATTTTACCGAATATTATTAAGTGGTTTTATTTTAAATGAAATAGTAATTAAAACGAAATTGGTGTTGTACAACCGATTTATTTTATGATGATCTACCATAGTACATGATAATCAATGACGTCATCTTACAAAAAAATCAAAACACGTAGAATAAGGATTTATAAAAGCTTAGCATACTTATTGGCAAAACGTTTTCTTTTATTCACAGTCGCACCGTGCCGTTTTCGCGTTTTAATTTTCTTTGTTCCTACTTCCTTTGTCCTTATCTTATCCTGTGGTTCCAGAGTCCCTGTCCTCTCCATTTCCTTTTAAATATATTTTTAATTCTCATCCTTATCCCCCAGTCCTAACAGTTTCAAATTGTATTGCAATTAAATGTTTTGAATTCTTCACATAGGTACCTAACATTGACATACCACGTCCAGAGTCGTGGA